CATTTCAAACATCTTAGGCATAATAAGGAACAGGTATTTTTCATCAAGTATTGATATGTTGAACTTTAAGTCCCTACATAATATGATAAAAAACATTTAAAAATTAGATTACATTTTAAAAATCGGATAAAGAATTCTATGCTTCTCATGTTTGCACATAAGTCCAAAACTCTCACCATATACAACCTTGAAGCAGGACAGTCCCACAATATTCCTTTTCTGTCTCTTGCTTTCAGTGAATGTATCTTAACTCTTATTATCTAGTATATTTTTCTGGAAAAAGATTGTATAGCCAAATAAATTTAGGAAGCAATATTAAATAAAAATCTATAGGGTTATTTTTACATGATTTCCCAGAGACTCTGATACATGTTTTGTGATTTATAAAACATACAGTTTCCTCAATTGATTTATGCTATGGAATCCCTCACTGGATGGCGCACAGTCAATTTTCTGTGCAAGATCTTGGAAAACCCTGTCCCATGGAATATAGGTAATTGTCCTTAAATACACACATGCCCCACGCTTAAAGTATGTAGTCACATCTCTCCCATATGGAATCATTTAATATTATTTATAATAATAACCAGCACATGAAAAGCACCCTACTTTCAACTCCCCTGGCAGCAACCCTATGTGGTAAGACACTATTAGCATGACTTCTTCCTTCCCCAAGATCAGGCTGAGTCAGACCAGCCCCAGATCTATTCAGGCATGCAGCACAATCTATGCAACCATATGTGCTTCCCTTTGCTTTCCTGGGGTCTTTTTTCTTACCTCATGCTGGCCTGGCTCATAGGCTTTCCCCTGAAAAGTACAGAGAGAAGTTAGGTGGTCGTAGATTTTGTTTTGTTTTGTTTTTGTGACTGGCTCAGCCCACCCTGGTGGTGGGGCTGGCACTGCATGTGGTGCCAGGGATGGAACCAAGGTCCCTGAGCTCTTGCCTAACCAGGTGCTCTAGACCACTGAGCTATCTCACCAGCCCATAGGTGGTTGTCCGTACAAGAATAAGAGGTCATATTCCAGAGCACACAGTGCAGCATCGTTGGTGTAAATCGTAGGTCCCTGAGGTGGCCACACACTCCCCAGCTAAGCATCGGCCATCCTTTGCACCCTACTACTGGCGTTCTACTCCTCACAACATGGAAAACTTCTTTCCTCTGGGAAATTAGAAATGAACACACATAGGAAATCTGTCAGGGAGTGTCCTCTTCAAGGTGTGGCCCACCATTGCCTGGCACCAGCCCCAAGCTCTTTGCTGCAATGAGATATGATCAAGCTAGGTGGTGGCTCTGGCTTGTCAGTCCAGAAGACTGAGGCGGGGTGTCACAAGCTCAAGCCCAGCACCAGCAATGTAGTGACTTGCAAGAGCCTGTCTCAAAATAAAACAGAAAGGGAGAGGGCTGAAATTCAGTA